GCTCGGGAAGGAGACAGCTTTACTTTTTTTTGGGGGGTGGGCAGGGGGAGGAGGGTGGAAAGAAAACAGTAGCAGAAGGATCCTATCTCTGCTGGCTTCACCTCTACACAGTGCCCACACATGCGATTTCAAGCACAATGTAAACACTGGTGTTGTGGGTATACCGCTAAGAGACATAACCGAGATATTCTGAAGCAGTCATTAACACTTTGGACTCTGAGTCAATCCAAAGATCCACAGAGGAGAAATGTGAGTCACAAATATTTTGGTCAGTTTAAGGGGGCTTAATAAATAAAAAAAAAGAAAAAGGATATTTTAAATACTGGTGTACACCTGACTAGTGCCAGATACTACCTGTAGTATTGCATCTGTGACCTTAATCCTAGTAGTAACTATCCAAAAGTCTCCTTCCCATTTCAATGGGGTTCAACAGTGTTGAACCCCAATACCCAAGTGTGCTGAGCCTACGACAGCTCAACAGCCTTGAGCCGTGAGCAAGTAAGCATGAGACCAGGAGGATCACCTGGTAAGAGGGAGCCTATTTTTGCTGCTGTGTTGTAACCATATTGCTGGAACTTGTAGCTCTCTCCTCCTTCCAGTGAGCAATGCTTCTTGTGCACCAGCTGCCATCTGCGGTATAAAGAGGAGTCACTGGGCTCTCCAATGGTTATACTGATGTTTAGTCTCAGACTGAGTCGAGGATCAGGCCAAGGCTGCTTCAGGGACCCAGGAAGCATAATTTCTGGCTCCCACACAGCCTTCACCTGCAAAGCTCTGAGCAGAGTCCAAAATATATTTTGCATACAAATTAATGAGATACATTTATAGCACCCCTTAGACAGCTTTATTCTGTTAGTGCTTACCTTTATTACTGTGTAACATACTCAGCTCTCATTGTCATAAATTGTGCTCTACTTTTGAAGGGGGAGAATAATTCCATATAAAAGATAAATAAATATGAGGAGCAAAATGTTGTCAATTCCTATGTGGCTACCAAAACAATGGCAAAGTCATCCCATACATAAGTAAAACATCAGTTCCTGACACCTAGTAATTAGAATCTTCCATCCAACTTCATCATGCCCTAAGTCAGCATACTTGGGAACATCCCTGTGCCTCGCATGTGCACAAGATAGTAGGGCATAGACCACTGCCTTACTTAGGGGTTTCCACAGACTTCAGAGCCTCTGGGAAAGTACTGTTGTGGCCTTGAAATCATCTGTACAAGCTAAGTAAAGTTTTGTCTTCAGCAATATCCAGGTAGCACTGTTAAAAAGAAATGGGTAAAAAAATGGCTTTCCTCTGCACTTGGCCAACTGAACCTGTGAGTTTCTGCTCTGTGATATGAAAGTGCCCACAGTGTTGGCAGGATATTTGCAGCTTTTGTGCATTTTCATGCATGAAAAATACATACATACATGTGCATGTATTTAGTAGCCAAGGGCCACTGGTTTTCACTGTGCCCAGGCCAGTGAGATATCACTCTGCCTGTCTTCACTTCAGTTTGTACTGGACTAAGAGATGGCAGAAGCTCTGCTGTGCCGCCTCTCCAGCTCCTTACCCATCTCCACTAAATCACAAGTCACATCCCAGCAGATTAAGGTAAATTTCAGTCAACAGCACTTTAAATGAGTAAATTGGACAATGAACTGCAGCATTTGAGGGAGGGCAAACACAGGCATTTTGCTGCTTCTGAGGTTTCCTCCAGGTGGGGAGAGGGGCAGGGCACCTGGGGGCAACCTTCTTCCTTACCCCAATGTGATTCACCGGGTCTCGTGAGTCACAGCCATTAGACATCAGGGGAACACATGTGAAGAGGTATTATTCAATGTGAGTGAAGGTTGCAAAATTGGATTCTATTGTAGGAAAGCTTTTAAGTTATATTAGCCTGTGTCTGGGAAGCATTAGTAAAAGTTTCACTTTCTCTAAAAAAATACTATTTGGTCTAATTTTTTACAAATACATGGAAAATATGAACCATGTGGACTTTATGGGAGTTCTCCCAAAACACCATTTTTAGCAAAAGCCCCCTCATTTCATGGAATTTTCCCTTTACTTTGCAGCAGTACAAACTGCAGTGGTGGATATGGATGCTGGAGGTGACACACCACTGAGGACCCAGGCCTTTCTGGGCAGTGTCATGGAGACCCCTGCTCTCTGCAGGCAGAGCTGCTAGTGTTTGGCCATTCATAGTGGATAGTATATAATGCTTTGAAATGCCTCATCAATCTATTTAGTTTAGTCTTTTATTATAGTCTTGCCATGCTCAACACAGGTCTTCAGATAATTCACCCTCCTTTCCAGTCCTACAAATGTTTAACAATACATGGACAAAATATCACAGAAAATACCCCAGAGTAGGTATTTATATAAACACTATACCACATATTATATGTCTTTTCAGAAAAAAATGGCATTCTTGGGATATAGGATAGCATTTACAAAAAAAAATTAAATTCTGTATTTCCTTATAGACTCACTATTGTCTACTATTCATAACTAACTGCATTTATGAGTAATGGAATAATTCCTTACATGTGAGGATAAATGTATGGTATTATGGCATAATCAGGTACGATATATTTCAGCAGAGCTTTGAGTAAGTGAAATGTTGCAATTTGGAGGTTATCTGGAAGATCAAATCCCCAGTCAGAAAGTTATATTGTTGCCTTCATTTTCCTTTCCCAAACCCATGAAGGCTTAATTGGCATCTAGTTTACATTGTGATCATCTAGCTTCTTAGAATTTTCTTTTTTTGTTACAGGGTTTTTTTTTTGTTGTTTTGGTCTTTTTTTTTGTTTTGTTTTGTTTTTTTGTTTTTTAATGAGCGTTTTCTCAAGGGAATTAATTATTACTTTGACTGGTATATTCATATATTTCTATCAAGAAGTTTTACAAATTACAAAACTAGTGACACAGTGTGCAACCATAAAAATCACAAAGAGTATCTGTAGTTCTTTCTAATCCCATTAATTTTATTTTTTTTTAATCTGGAGTTTATTCTCCTTTTTCGTTAAATGGCTACATTCTGTCAGTTGCTGCTAATGTTTTGTGTGTAGGTGGTTTGATACTACTACAGGTTTACCAAAGCTGTCCTGTAAGAAGAAATACGTCACAAAGTTAAATGAGCTCAAATAAATGAAGAGTTTCATCACTGCACGGCATCATTTCTGCAGAAAGAATACTCACTACAGACTTGATGTTTTTCTACTTTGTTTACATTTTATGCAGAGCTTTTAGAAGCATGCTCCATGTGAGGCACTCTGTGGGAAAATGAAGTTTCAGTACCAGTTACCAGATAAGTAGGGGGCTATGTCCCAAGGCCTCAACTTCATCTTTAGACAAGCAAACTTCAGTTAGTTCAAGGACCGAGACAACCCCAAAGGATTCTGCAGTTACTTATCTGCTGACCCTTTAGGAGCAAAATATTCCATAGCTGTGTTCCTCCACAGCCAAGTGTAACACAACAGCCATGTGCCTGTTTGAGTTCATTCTTGATCCACAGGGAAGATGCTGTGTGTCTTTCATAAGCTTAACAAAAGCTCTCTTTTGCATCCTTTTTCTTTGACTCCTTGCTGCCACTGCTTATAATTTGCACCATTTATTTATTTATTTATTTTTGTCCTTCACGGAAACAATAGTCACAAAAGAGTTTGATTTTCAGGCATAGGCATCATCATTTGGTGCCCTTCCCAGTCAAGGTTCTGGAACAGGAGTCTTCCAAGCCCAGTGTTTGGTTTGGGTTTGCTTGCAGTAAGCTCTCCGTTGAGCTGGTTGATACGAGAAAGAGCATGGGGATGTGGGTCCTGCCAACAGCCTGGGCTTTCCCATCGAGCTCCCTTCCAACCAGTGAACCTTCCACAGGGAGGCCTGAAAGTCTTCAATTGGCATTAATGAGGGGGACCTTGTTCCCTTCTACTTTCTCTCCTTTCCAGCTGAACTGGCTTGCTAGAATTAAAGTTACCCTCGGTGTTCAAGTTGCAGCTTTCCTAACAAATGAAAACAGCAATTAAGGCTGCCACTTCATTCCTAAGTCACACCATTTTGTCTAATTGCAATATATATAATACATAAGATCATGCTGTGCTGGGGGATATATATGCAATAACCGAACACAGTGGCATGATTTAGGACAGACTGGCTTTGAATTTCTTTGTGTGAGCAGGTGGTGTTTCCACACTGCCTCAAATATATTCATCGTGACACTATAAGGTCAAACTTACCCCTTCTGAGGGCTTGGTTTTATTACTAGCCCGCAAACTTCAGATGAGGCTCTCTTTCTAGGCTTTCCAGAAGGCATTCCCTGGTTTGCTCTCAGCTTGTCCGTCCAGTGGGTATTTACACAGGTCTTATGTTTTAGGGGACCTCCCAGGGCTACTTTAAGAAAATTGCAATAGGTAAACTAGTTCCTGCTAAGATGTTACTGTCCATCAGCTGAGAGGGGGTAGTCATCAGTGTGCTTCTTGCCCACACCATCTGTCAAAGAAAGTATAAGCTTACACCCTCATATGCCTCATAATGGAAGAAAGGAAAATACACTGCTCATAATGCCCACTTTAAGAAACGGGAAAAAGTGCTAGCAGTAACTACATGCCCTATTTTAATATAATCTCAACAGTATGCAATCCTCCAGGAGAAAGGCACTGAGGTAAATGAAAGACGGGACAGGCTGCAAGGTGAGTTTGCCAAAGGCTGATTGTGGCAGAGTAACTGGATAGCTTTCTTCTCTGAGATAACAGATTTTCTTGACTAAAGAAATGCAGTAGGTCTCATCTCTGTGGACCTGTGAAAAGTAGGTAATAAGGTGCCACATGGGAAATTATTAGTTAAGCTGAAGAAGATGGGAATTAGTTCAAAAAGTATAACGTGGATAAGAAACTAACTAAAGGGAGATGTCAACTGATTGTGTTGAAAAGGGAGATTCAGTCCTGGAATGAGGTTACCTGTTGCCAGGAAGTGGGTTTACAAGGTTACTAGGACCTAGCCTTTATTTGTGAGCTTCATTTTGAAACTGTGGTGCAAAAAGTAGGACTGCTAAAAAAAAAAATTTAAATTGCTGGTCAAAAAAATCTGTGAGACATCATAAATGAAGAAAGAGCTAGAAGCACCAAAACACACCCAAGATATGGAATTGTGTACTTGGAGGTCAACATTGCACAAACATTTTCTTTTCAGCTAGAAATGGCATTGCAAAGATTAAGTTCTTGTTGGTCCTGCTGTGGCTGGCCCTAAATTGGCAAAGAGATGGAGATCGTAGCCATAATCCCTACATGGATGATAGTTCCCACTGAAGCACTATAAGGGCCTCCTTCCATGTTCTGTGAGCTCTGGTTGTCCAGGACCTGACTCCTGAGAGAGGGGCACAGAAAGGCTACAAGGCATGAAGGGACACAGGCATGAAGAACCCATCTGGCTAAGAAGCCGCAAGAAAGCATGACCTGTGCAGTCAAATAAAACACAAGCTGAAAGGGAAGCTAACTGTTTCCTTTAAAAACACCAGGCAAGAAAAAATAGGTATTACAGCTAAAGGATGACGTTGTCAATACGAATGCACACACACACACACACACACACACACACACACACATATTTATATGCTGAATAAATCTAGGCTGAATATGGGAAGCAGATTCTTACTATTAAGGACTTGTATTTCTAAAATATTCTTCTGTCCAAAGTTATAAACCATATTAACTTCTTTTAATAGGGAACCTGGTCAATTTCTGAAATGGAAGTACATGAAAATAATTGATTATGATTATCACAGGGAATAAGGGTTATTGACTAAACACATCTTTTCTAGTTATCTGCTCCTGTGAACTGATTTTTTTTTTTTGATTAAGATTTCACTGTTCTAAGACTGTTTGACAGACTCAAGAGAGAAATTCTTTTAAAAATACATTGCATTAGTAAATTAAAAAAAGTATTAAAAATATATCCTGTTTTACCTACATGCTTGTTGGTGATGATTTGTTCTTTGCCATCTCCATGTAAAGTTACTTCTGTTAAGGGGATTCTTAGTCTCTTACCTCTGCCTTCAATGCCGCATTAAAAACTGAGGGCCCAAGGGGAATAATGTCATTCTGCTATGAAAAATATACTAAATAAGGATGGAAATATTCATGGAGATAACTCTCCTAAATGCAGATACCATGGAAATATCTCCTTTTAACATTTGTGTCAAATGTTTCAAAGTTGGAGCAGTGCAACTTCATGCCCATTTTTGTCATTTTGAATTATGATATTCGCTCTTTTGCTATATCTGTACTAATCTTTTCCTCCCCAGGTTGTCTATGCCAGTTCAGATTCCGACCCCACACATTGCTGAAATGAGCCAACGTCAAGCCAGAGCTTGCACAAGGAAACAAGGTGGGTAGAGACATGTTGAAATTTTAACCTTTCATTGCTGGTACTTCCTCTAGTGGGAAAACTAGGTGGGAAAAAATAAATGGGAAAAATGTTCAAATATGTGATTTCAGCACAGGTGGATTAGATATTTTTATACAAAGATGGCAAATTTAGTCCAAAGGTTTTTCACTGTGTGCACTGTCTTCTGCACATTGGTGTGTGCTAATCAGTGATTAGGGAATAAGGTGAGCATGACTGGTAAAAGATAACTGGAGAAAGCTCTTAAAAAATTCAAGGCCCCTTCCCATGTGTGATTTTTCCTAAATGACTTTGGCTTGCTCCTTCCTGAGGTGCATTGTAGGGAAGGGTTTGAAGTTCCCTGAATTTGCATGTCTTTGCTGGTCAAAGTCAGAATTCTTTGTTTCCTGTACATTATGGGAGCACATAAAGAAAAAAAAACCCTACCCACTCACACACACAAAGTGGGCCTAGGGCACTTAATATTTTATTCTCATGAACAAGCTATAAAAAAAAAAAAAAAAAAAAAGAATAAAAAGAAAAAAAGCCACCCTGTGATGTGAACCAGTCAGTTTGCCAATTTGAGCTGAGGAGCTGGAGTGACGGAGGCAAATTGGTTTCCAGCAGTTGCAGGAGAAACCTCAGGAGACGGCTGGCTCTGCACAAGCAAGCTAAGCTGTGCTTTACAGTTATGGCATTAAAGTCCAAACCTCACAGAAGTGAATGAGCATCTGAGGAAAGCTAATCAGAACTCCAGGTAAAGGACCTTAAATCTGCACTGCACAGACATTGACCCAGACTTTTCTCTGAAGATTTACTAAGTCTTGAATGTCCACAATGTATAGAGGAGTAAAATTCATTATACAGTGGTAAAGGTAATCAGTAGAGCATCTGGTTAAATTGTTACAGGCAGAAGAGTGAAGGTAAAATACAGAGAAGCATATTAGGATTTTATTTCATATTGCTCTGTGTAGGCTGAACACAACCTAAACTACTTTTCCTTCTTCATTTTTTAATCTTAATTCTTTCAAACCAGTGTACAGTGACCACATCTCTTACAGAATGATACCAGGTGAAATATGAATTCATCACTACTGAATATACAGAACTACCATTAAATGAGTAAACCTATCACATTTATAAACTATGTGCATAGAAAAATCATTATTTTATCATTTAGTTTGATGGCAAATATTTATTGGAAAGAGCACTATTATTAGCAGCCTGCTTTCAATTAAGAATCTGTTTCTTTATGACTGTTTTTTTAAGACTTAACATCATGGCTGTTACATAAGTCTCATTACATTTTTGGCATAAGCATTCTTAGACCAGATGCAGTAAGGTTTCCTTTGGGTAAATTGTCCTTCTAGTAAAAGACACAATTAAAAAAAAAAAACCCACAAAAAAACATGTTTGGGTTTCATCCCATCTTTCTCACTTTTAGAAAAGACAAAAAAAAAGTCAATTTAATAATGAAAAGTAATGGTGATATTTACGAGGATAATACTAATTTGTGCTGTGCGCTTGAGTGGTGGCGTGAGGTGAACATTTGTCTTTTATAACTGAAGCAGAACCATTAAACCTATTTCACACAGGCTGTCAGCCATCCGTCCAGTGGCAATGCCTTTTACTCACAATTAAGCAGGCTACTTTAAGCTTTGTAATTTGTTTCACTTAAATTAAAAAAAATAAATAAATCAATCAAACTTTTTTTGCTAAAATGAATGTAAGTAGAAGAAATATTTCAGCTTGGGATAATATGTCAGCCTGCTAGAGCTCAAGGCAGAGTGCAAAAATTTGGAGAGGCAAGACTGGATGATTTGGAGACCAGTGTGAAAACCCACTGCAGAAACAATCCCCTTCCTGTGCAAGTTGTTGGGGCTTCCTGGTACCTTCCATAACAGGTATGAGGCTCTGTAACTGGAAGGCCAGACAACTAATGAGGTGGGTGAAGGTCCTGCTGGGATAGTGGGGCCTCCTGAAACCACACCACCTGTACCCTGCTGTCAACAGGAATGGAAGGGTGCTTGTAATAGGAGACTCCCTTCTGAAGGGAACAGAGGGCCCCATATGCAGGCTGAACCCAATTTGCAGGAAAGACAGCTGTCTCCCAGAAGCTCAGATAAGGGGTGTCACTGGAAAACTCTTGAGTCCAGTAAGGCTCTCTGATTACTGTCTGCTGTTGGTTGTTCAAGCTGCCAGTGGCGAAATAACAAAGAGAAGTCTGAGAGCTATCAAAAGAGACTTCGGGACCCTGGGATGATTAGAAGAAGGATCAGGAGCACAGGTGGTGATTTCCTTGATTCTTCCAGTAACAATAATTGATATGGATAGGCAGATCCATCAGGTCAATGCATGACTCCAAGGTTGGAGTCAGTGGAAGAATTTTGGTTTTTTTGACCATGGAAGGATCTACTCAAATTCTGGTCTATTGATACCTGACAGGACACACTCAGAGGGGAAAAAGAGCTTTGGCACAGGAGCTAGTAGGGCTTGTTGACAGAACTTTAAATTAGCTTGGAAGGGGGAAAGGAATAAAACCAGGCTTGCCAGTGATAAGTGATGGGATGGTGAGACAAAACTTGAGGAATCAAGCACTGATGGTATCCCTTAACCTGCTACACACAGTGTAGGCTACACTGTACCATACCTGAAATGTATTTCTATTCTAATGACCCAGCATGAAGAGCAAACAAGAGGAACTGGAGGCTTTGGCCCTATCCCAGAGAACTGACATCATTGGCATAAGTGAAACCTGGTGGGATGAGTCCTGTGACTGGAGGAGGCTGGGGCAGGGAGGGGTTGAGGTGGCATTGTACTTAGTGGAAGGGATGGACTGTATGGAGCTCACAGCTGACAATGGCACTGTTGAGAGCCTCTGGGTAAGAATCAGGGGACAAACAATGTGGGAGTCTGCTATGGACCTCTGAGTCAGGGCCATGGCACAAATTATTCTTTGAGAAACTAAGGTACACTTCCATGTCAACTGCCCTTGTCCTTGTGGAGGATTTCAACTGGCCAGAAATTAAGTGGGAGCATCAAACAACTGGTACAACCCAGGCCCAAAGATTCCTAAAAGACTTGGATGACAGCTTTATGGACCAGGTGGTAAGGGAGCTGACTCAGAAAGATGCCCTCTTTGATCTGCTTCTTGTCAACAGTGTGGATCTCATGAGTGAAGTGGAGATTGGCGGCTGTCTTTGCCACAGCAACCACAAAGTGATCAAGTTTAAAATCTCTGTTGGACAATAGGTAAAGTGCCAGCATAACCTCAGCTCCACAAATAAGGAGAGCAGATGTCAGGCTGCTCAGGGAATTAGTAAGGTCTTATGGGAAAATGTTTTTGCAGGTGCTGGGATCCATCAGTGCTGGTCACTTTTTAAACATCACCTCCTAAGGTGCACAGGAGCAGGCAATTCCCAAATGTCAGAAGTCAAGCAGGTGAAGCAAAAGGCCAGCTTGACTGAACAGGATTCTTCTCTTGGAAATAAGGCTAAAAATAAAAGTATATGCCCAGTGGAAGCAAGGTTAAGTGACATGGGAAGAAGATTCTGTTTACCACTCTAGGGAGAAAATTCACCTGGTCAGAGCTCAACTGGAGTTGAAGCTGGATAGAAATGTGGGGTACAATAAAAATGTTTCCAATATATTAATGGCAATAGGCAGTGTAAAAATAACATCAGCCTGCTACAGGATGAGGTTGGTCACGTCATAAACAGGAACATGAACAAGGTGGAGGTGTTTTACACATTATTTGCCTCTGTCTTCAACACAGATGATAGACCAAGGGGGTCTCAGTGCCTTTAGCTGGAAGACCATGATTGTGAGACTGATCAACTCCTAGTCAAGCCTGAAATGGTGTGGGATCTGCTGGTCCACCAGACAAGACTGAGGGGACACCCCCTTTCAGTCTACAACATCCTTGGGAGGGGAAGAGAAGGGGCAGACACTGATCTCTTTGCTGGGGTGCCACTGATAGGACCCAAAGGAATGGCCTGAAGTTGTGTCAGGGGAGGTTTAGGTTGAATATTAGGGAAAGTTTTTTTTTACCCAGAGGGTGCTTGGACACTGGAACAGGCTCCTCAGAGAAGTGGTCACAGCACCAGCCTAGGAGAGTTCAAGAAGTGCTTGGACAATGCTCTCAGGCATGTGATGTGGGGATGATACTGTGCAGGGCCAGGAGCTGGACTCTATGATCCTCATGTGTGCCTTCCATCTTGACACATTGTGTGACTTCTGACCCATACATCAGCTCTGCCTTCCTCCCCACTTCTGTACCACCATCACCACCCCCCTCAGGAGGGACACGGTCACCAGAGGGATGAGAATGCAGAGCCAGACACACTGCCCTTCACACAGTTGAGTAACAGTGAAAAAATTCCCATGCACCTGACCAAGGCAGCTCCCCAGTTGCTCTGCTCCGCCTGGCTTGCACAAACCCTCCACCTGGAGAGGCAGTGGGGGAAGGAGGAAGCAGAAGGAATGAAAGGGACTCAGATACCCAGGTTAATGCAGAGGTTATTATTATCATGACTTTATTGACAGTCTATCAGGTTTGGATGAAAAATTAAAAGATAATGCCAGTGTCATATTAATGGGAATTTCTATAGTATGTATTACAGGCATGGAAAAGATGCCAGAGTAAATCCTCTTTCAGTGGTGAATTGGATAATCTATTGCATTTTTAAAGGCCATTTGTCCTGAGAGATTATGAATTTATATTGCCTAAGGTTGTATTCCATCATTACAAAAGTGCTAGAATCCTCCTTAAAATTTGTTTTACCTGTAGTAGCGCTGGGAATTTTGTCTCCTGCACTACATTTACTAACACTGGCATTTTGACATTTGAGAGTTATCTTTTGGTTTTACATGCCGCAGGAAAAAATTAGAGACACAACTTCTTTTAATAATGCAACTAGTGGTTCTACTTATTCAGTAGCCTCAAGCCACTGACACCTTTCTTTATTTCCTATACAATCATCTTCACGTACAAAGGTCTACTG